TGTCAATCCATGAGGCCCCACATCTTGACAGAATTGAAAGCAATTACGTATCAGTTGTCCCTGTCTCTCTCTTACCGTAGAAGAATTGCTACAAAAACTACACGTGTGCTATTGTTTTTTCTTATGAGAAGATTGCTATAGTGAGTACATACATAGAGTAGCTGCATTTCTATACATACTTTGGTTCTCACACCTAGGAAAGTTACTAGAGTACACACCTAGATTTGTATTCCCAATAGCACTTCTACAACTCATTTGCACGCTAAAAAAAAATGATAGGAACCAGATAAGTTTGAAACGAATGAACCACAATGAATAGTGATGGATTGATCTTCTCTTTTATATAGTAGAGGAGAGGTGTGAAAAAGAAAAAAGAAAAAAAAAAGGGAATTGCAAGCAAGAATAGACAAAAAAAAAAGTTATTATACAGTTTTTTAATTAAATTGAAATAATTAAAATTTAAAATAAATGTTATATTATTTAATTAAAATTAAAAAATTACGTTTTATCATAAAATGAAAAGAATTTAAATCGAACAAAAATTATTTATAATATGAAGAAAAAATAAATTTGAAAACAGTTTTCAAAAATATATAATAATAAAAAAATTAAACAAAAGAAAGTTAGGAAAACTAAATAAAGAATACGTAAATAATATTTTATTAATATTAAAAAAGTAATTTTTATCATAAAGAGAAAGGAATTTAAAAAAAGATGAAATCGAAAAAAAAACTTTATTTATAATATGAACAAAACAAATAAAAGAAAAGGACAAAAATAATACAATGGAGAGAAACCTCTTCAGTGTAATAAATATAATGAATAGGTTGTATTGAAAATATAAATAGAGTTGAATTGATGTGTGTTTATCTATTACTATATTATATATCATCATTGAGAAGGCAAGCACAAGTAAATGCGTAAACCTTTTCATATTAACTTCATTGGGAAGGCAAATACAAAAAAAGAAAAAAGAAAAAAAAAGAAGTTATTAAAGAGTTTTTTTAATTAAATTGAAATAACTAAAATAAAAAATAAATATTATATTATTTAATTAGAATTAAAAAATTACCTTTTTATCATAAAACGAAAAGAATTAAAAAGAATTTTAAATTGAACAAAACATTATTTATAATATGAAGAAAAAAGAAATTTGAAAACAATTTTCAAAAAATATATAATAAAAACAAAACAAATTAAATAAAAGAATGTTACGAAAATTAAATAAAGAATATCTAAATATTATTTAATTAAAATTGAAAAATAAAGTATTATCATAAAGAGAAAAAAATTTAAAATAATTTTAATTCCAAAAAAAGTAGTATTTGTACGATGAGCAAAACAACTTAAAAAAAAAAGAAAGAACAAAAAAAAAAAAGGACAGAAAGTCTCTCCAGAGCACGTGTTGTCTCCATAACATGAGGCATATTGTGGAGCTACATGTTATGGAGAGAAAAGAGAGAATTCTCTCAACAACACTGAGAGTTCCACTCTTTTTTTTTTTCATCATATAAATAAATTTTTTTTCGATTTTAAATTCTTTTGATTTTTTCAATTTTAATTAAATAATATTTATATATTTTTTATTTAGTTTTCGTAATTTTTATAATATATTTTTTAAAAATTTCTTTTTCTTCATATTATAAATAAAATTTTCATTTAAAATTCTTTTTAATTTTTTATTTCATTATAAAATGTAATTTTAAAAAGAAAAAGAAATTTAAAAATATGATAAACTTAATTTTATGATAAAACGTAACTTTAAAAAGAAAAACGTAATTATTAATAGTATGAAGAAAAAGAAAATTAAAAAAATAATAATAATAAAAACAAAACAAATTAAATAAAAGATAGTTGCAAAAATTAAATAAAGGATGTTGACCCCAAAAAGTGCGCCAACAGATGCCGGTCCCACCCGCGCTTGCGTGGGCGAATGTCCAACACGCTAAGACACGTGGAAGGTCTAAAACGAGCGGTTCAAAGGGGCGTGGGAGTAGCCCAACGACGCGGGACGGTGACGTTCGGAATCCGGCGGGTTATTTTTATTCCGGTTGTACAATAATTACCAACCGGTGCTTGTAAATGTATGTGTAAAAGTGTATAAATTCGATTTATATATCGCAAGTAACTGAGAGAGTTGAGTAAATGTAGTCTTTTGTATTGATTCTTGCATTAGCCTTTTGACATTATACAATGGGCGTATTTATAGTGATACATATGGAATGGGGGCCCTTGGATGAAGTGGCATGTGGCCTCATCTTCTCAGTTTAAATGTCTGTTCTTAGGCATGAGATTTGACTTGCTAGCTTACGGCGCATTTATTGCTTGTGCAGGGCCTCCATGCTAGTGACAAGACTTGACCTTTATGCTTATGACAAACATTTCATCAATCATTCGAATAAGATCTGTGCAGGCGATCTCTTGGGAGAAGTGACCATGGAGGATGTTTCCTCGTGGTTGAGGCTCGCGCATCAACTTCGGGGCTTCGTCCATTCGAGGACCTCAGCTACAACCAAAAACTTCCACGCCTCGGTCATGGGGCCTCGGTTAGAAGCAGTTCGGGTGTAACCCACCTCGGCAGGAATGCCACGTGGATCAGGATGAGTGGCCCACTGGCCCAGGTGGATAGGACAGGTGTGAAAACACGCAACAATAGTCCCCCAAGTCCAAGTATGATCATTAATGTAATGCGTGAACTTTAATGGAGTAAAAGTTGAGAGAATTTTTGAATTTTTTAAACCCCCAAATAATAGTCCCCCAAGTCCAAGTATAGATATTTATATCATGGTTAGACTTAGAGAAGTTTTGTTGTAGGTGGGTGTGAATAAGCCGAGGTGGTTGGGAAACCGAACCTGCGAGGCTTGAATGCTGCATGGGTGTGAAGAAGCCGAGGTGGTTGGGAAATTGAACCTGCGAGGCTTGAATGCTGAATGGCATATGAAGAAGCCGAGGTGCTTGGAAAACCGAGCCTGCGAGGCTTGAATGCTGCATGGGTGTGAGAGGTGGTTGGGAAACCGAACTTGCGAGGCTTGAATGCTGAATGGGATATGAAGAAGCCGAGGTGGTTGGGAAACCGAACCTGCGAGGCTTGAATGCTGAATGGGTGTGAAGAAGCCGAGGTGGTTGGGAAATCGAACCTGCGAGGCTTGAATGCTGAATGGCATATGAAGAAGCCGAGGTGCTTGGAAAACCGAGCCTGCGAGGCTTGAATGCTGCATGGGTGTGAGAGGTGGTTGGGAAACCGAACCTGCGAGGCTTGAATGCTGAATGGGATATGAAGAAGCCGAGGTGGTTGGGAAACCGAACCTGCGAGGCTTGAATGCTGAATGGGATACGAAGAAGCCGAGGTGGTTGGGAAATCGAACCTGCGAGGCTTGAATGCTAAATGGGTGTGAAGAAGCCGAGGTGGTTGGGAAATCGAACCTGCGAGGCTTGAATGCTGAATGGCATATGAAGAAGCCGAGGTGCTTGGAAAATCGAGCCTGCGAGGCTTGAATGCTGCATGGGTGTGAGAGGTGGTTGGGAAACCGAACCTGCGAGGCTTGAATGCTGAATGGGATATGAAGAAGCCGAGGTGGTTGGGAAACCGAACCTGCGAGGCTTGAATGCTAAATGGGATATGAAGAAGCCGAGGTCCAATGGTAATGATTATGCTTTGGTCTCTGTGCCAATGATTTGATGTTTTGTGCTTGTTTTCGAGGAAAGATAGCTGAACCGTTACGACTTCCAAGGTGCTAGCGCCGACGAATTAAAAATGCAATTATGAGGGCAGCTGGCGTTTCTAAAAGCAGACGCCCTGGAGAGGTGCGTGTGAGGTACGCATAGATAGGAGGCGTAGGATTTCAAAAACTGTTTGAATTCAACGCCTCGGATTGGATGTGAAATGGAGGGCTCGGATTGACTGAGATTTGATCTGACGGGTGGGGTTCGTCTTTAACCTTTATAAAAGGCGAGAAAATCCCACTTTCCAGAAATTTTGAACACTTTGCATTCTCGAATTCTCTCAAATTTCCCATTTTCCGGCGTCGAGGTTGTCTGCGATTAGATTCCGACCGGTCTCCGTTTGTGTTGAACTCTTTTAGGTATTGTTTGCATAAAAAACCGTTGTTATTCTTTGTCCTCAAACAATGGAGTCCACTTCGGGTAGGGAGCTTGTCACAGTAGCGTCTTTAGACCATGGGGTAGGTCATGGGGGGATGTCCGAGGTGGATAGGTATGCCATGGCCGAGGAGGACGTGGATTATACCCAGGAGTGGAGGGCTTCTAGAGTGCCCTCAAACATGATGGGGAAGAGGTTGGGGGAACTTAGGGAGAGGTACAGTGTGCCTCATAACATAGAGATGTTAGTCCCCGAACCGAACGAGCGGGCCTGCTATCCGAGGCCCGGCTGCGTGGCCGTGAGTGAATACCTGTTCAAAGCAGGTATACGTCTTCCTTTGCACCCCTTCTTTAGGGCGGTGCTTAGGAAATTCATGCTGTCGCCGATCCAGGTTTTGCCGAATGGGTGGAGCCAGCTGGTCGGCTCGTACTTCCTGTGGAAGGAAGTGTCACTTGGGGAGGACATGCCTCTTCATGTCTTCATGACCCTGTTCCAGCCCCGGGTGATTGGGAAGGAGTCCAGGGGGTGGTACCACCTCACGCCTTGGGGGGGCTCACGCACCCTTTGTGGTGGGACTTCCTTCCTCTATCAAGGGGTGGAAGGAGTCTTAGTTCTGGGTGCGAGGTAAATGGCAGGCAGTGGAGGGTGACAAAGCCCTGTCATGCACAGTGCCGACCCAGTACTACGAAGCTCGTGAGTCTCCCGACCTCTGCTTGTGTTTTGAAATCAGAATATTTATTCGTCTAACTGTTGGAGGTTCATCTTTGCAGATAGTAGTACGAGGTTCGAGCTTAGCAGGGAGGAATTCGAGGTGATAGAGGACATTTACAAGAGGCCGCTGAAGCTTCGGCACTTCGATCACCTGATTGACAGAAGCAGATACTTCTTGGACTTCGAGCTGATGGCATCCAGAGATATGGGGCCCCAACACTTGATGTTTTTTATCCTTACTATTTCTTATGCTAATGCTAATCTGACATGCGCTGCAGACAAATTCAAGAAGAGGGAGTACCCAGCTCCGGATATGGCCTCCATCTTGAAGGCCACTTCTACTGCGAAGGCGAGGCCCCTGAAACCTGGGTCTAGTGGGGTAAAGGAGGTCCGAGGCAGGGTTGAGCGCCTGTCCAAGGACTGCACTCCCAGGGCTTCGGAGGAGGCATCTACTAAGAGGCCAGAGAAGCCCAAGGAGCCTCGGGGCAAGGAGAAAGTCTATGAGGAGACTAAGAAGAGGAAGCTGGTGCACATCTCCAGCTCAGCTGGCAAGTTTGGGACTTCAGTGTCCAATAGGGCAGAACAGACTGGAGAGTCGAAGCTTCTCCCTGCAGCCTCTAAGGCCATCAAAATGGAGATGGTAAGAGAGGTGGAGGCTGAAGAGGCCAGAGAAGAGGCTGCAAGGCGAGCTGCAGAAGCCGCCGAAGAGGAGGCGGCGGAGGAGAAGCCGGTTCGGGAGAAGGGGAAGTCTCCAAACTTCCTAGCTGGGAGGGAGGATGAGCTGGCCCCAGCCTTGGTGGAGGCTCTCCTTGAGGAAATCAGAGGTGCCACCGAGAGCTTTTACAAGTTCTAGACTGAGAGGTGGCAGCTTCACGCCTCGTCTTGTGATGCCACCGACCTCACGAGGGCACTGGTGAGCCAAAGCGCCCGGACCTTTGGCCTCGCGCTAGAATGCAGGGAGGCATTAAGTGAATTCCAAACTAGGACTCACGCCTCGGAGGGGAAGGCTGCTTCCCTTGCAGAGGAGGTCAAAGCTGCTAAGGCCGAGGCCGAAGAAGCCAAAGCTCAGAGGGTTGAAGAAGCGGCGAAGCTCGAGTCTGCCTTGACCCAAATTGAGGCCCTAAAGAGGGAAGTATATGAGTCACAGTGCGAGGTGGCCTCCCTGACAAAGAAGGTGGAGGTCTCCAATGAGCACCAAAAGGTGACTGCTGAGGCCCTAGAGCAGGCGAATCTCGCCTTGGCCGGCGCTCGTGATGCCAATCAGTTTCTCGAAGGCCAGGCGAAGTGGTATATGAACGACGCCTCGGTTGCCAGAGAAGAGGCCCGGACTGCAGCGGAAGAGGCGGTGAAGGCATACATCGCCAATTTCCACACTACAGAGGAGTATAAAAGTTTCAGCGCGTACTGGAGGAACTTCGCCTATACCGAAGTGCTGGAGAGGGCAGAGGAGCTTTATCCCAACTTGGACCTGGCACAACTTAGGTCCGAATTTGTGGATGAGGTTCCTCAGACCCCAGCTGAGGAGGTGCAGGGTGACGAGGCAGCTGATGCCGAAGCCCCAAATGCTGAGGCAGGGGAAACAAATACTGATGCCCAGGTTGCCGAACCCCCAAGTGCTGAGGCGCCTCCTTCATCTAGCCAGGCTTAGATTAGGTTTTCCTTTTTTCAGTACTTTGTGTAATGGCCAGAGGCCCTCTGTTGTAATCCCTTTTGAATATTAATATAATGTTTTTCTTCATTCATTGTTGTTCTTTATCCAAGTTTTTGTGCCTCGTTTAAACAAACGAACTGGAAGTTGGTAAGAGCACGAACTAAATAACTTTAACTTGGTACCCTAACTTTAATCAGTCAACTGTATGGGCCTCGGACTTAAGCAAATGAACATAACTTAAGGAGATGAACTGTTGGAGCCTCGGACTTAAGAAAATGAACATAACTTAAGGAGATGAACTGTTAGAGCTTCGGTTTTAAGGTTGTGGCTTCTCCCCTTGACGTTCAGCAAGGCCAAAAGGGAGGCATGTGCTAGAGCCTCGGAGTCCAAGCGAGGTGGCCCAGTGGTGGGTCCCGAGCCTCTCCTCCGAGGTTACGACGCATCCCAGACATGGTGGATGGTGCAGCCATGTTGAGGCTTCTCCCCTTGGCGTTCAGCAAGGCCAAAAGGGAGGTATGTGCTAGAGCCTCGGAGTTCAAGCGAGGTGGCCCAGTGGTGGGTCCCGAGCCTCTCCTCCGAGGTTACGACACATCCCAGACATGGTGGATGGTGCAGCCATGTTGAGGCTTCTCCCCTTGGCGTTCAGCAAGGCTAAAAGGGAGGCATGTGCTAGAGTCTCGGAGTCCAAGCGAGGTGGCCCAGTGGTGGGTCTTTACGACACATCCCAGACATGGTGGATGGTGCAGCCATGTTGAGGTTTCTCCCCTTGGCGTTCAGTAAGGCCAAAAGAGAGGCATGTGCTAGAGCCTCGGAGTTTAAGCGAGGTGGCCCAGTGGTAGGTCCCGAGCCTCTCCTCCGAGGTTACGACGCATCCCAAACATGGTGGATGGTGCAGCCATGTTGAGGCTTCTCCCCTTGGCGTTCAGCAAGGCCAAAAGGGAGGCATGTGCTAGAGCCTCGGAGTTCAAGCGAGGTGGCCCAGTGGTGGGTCCCGAGCCTCTCCTCCGAGGTGACAACGTAGTATGACGATTTAATCAACGCATTTTATTGAGCCATAGAAATATTAAAAAGGCTGGAAAAGTCATCCAGCATGATACAATTCACTGATAAAAGATTCTGAGGTGTTCAATGTTCCATGGACGGGGTTGTGCCTTGCTGTCCATGTCTTCAATCCAGTAGGTTCCAGGTCGGATTTCTTCTCTGATCTTGTATGGACCTTCCCAGTTCGGTCCCAGGGAGCCGGAACCGGGTTCTTTTGAAGATGGAAAGACCCTCTTGAGCACAAGATCGTTGATTCAGAAAGACCTCTTCTTGACTTTGGAGTTGAAGTACCTTGTCATCTTCCTTTGGTAGGTGCCTAGCCTCAGCTGGGAGTCGTCCCTCCTCTCCTCAATGAAATCGAGGTCTAGCCTCCGGAGCTCGTCGTTGGTCACTTCACTAAAGTGCAGACGCCGTGGAGATGGGAGTCCGACCTCCACGGGGCTCATTGCCTCAGTCCCAAATGCCATGAGAAAAGGGGTCTCCCCGATTGGGGTCCTGGTGGTGGTTCGGATTGCCCAAAGTACTTGGGGCAGCTCATCAACCCAAGCTCCCTTGGACACATCAAGCCTCCTTTTCAGGACGTGTTTGATTGTCTTGTTTATGGCTTCAACCTGGCCATTGGCTTGTGGGTGATGAGGTGTAGAGAAGTGCTTCTTTATGCCAAGATCTTCACACAGTTCTCTAACCTTCTTGTTATCGAATTGCCTGCCATTGTCTGAGACGATCGAGTAGGGAATTCCGAACCGACAAATGATATTCTTCCATAGGAACTTGGAGGTGTTTGCTTCTGTGATTTTTGCCAGTGGTTCAGATTCGACCCACTTCGTGAAGTAATCAATGGCCACTATTGCAAAGCTTGCGCCTCCTCTACCCTTTGGTAGAGGGCCTATGAGGTCCACACCCCACTTTGAGAAAGGCCAGGGGCTGGAGACTGCAGTCAAATCCTGTGATGGTCGTCTTTGAACGGGAGAGAATCGTTGGCACTTGTCACATTTTCGCACAAATTCGAGGGCATCCCGTTTCAGGGTAGGCCAGTAGTATCCTTGTCTCAGTATTTTTTGTGCCAGAGATAGGCCTCCAGAGTGGTTGCCGCACACTCCCTCGTGGACTTCTCTTAGTATGTATGTAGCCTCTTCTCCTCCGACACATCGTAAGAGTGGAGAGGAGAAACTTCTCTTGTAGAGAATGTCATCGATGAAGAGGAAATGGGCTGACCTCCTTCTTAGCTTGTAAGCCTCATTTTTGTCGGTGGGTAGCACCTGGTCTTTCAGGTATGCTATAATTGGTTGCATCCAGGTGGGAATTCCACCGACCCACATGAAATTAGGGGCCTCGGTAGAAGGCATTAGGAGGTGCTCGATAGGCACTACAGTGAGTAGCTCTGAGTCCTTGCTACTAGCCAGCTTCGAGAGTGCGTCCGCATGAGCATTTTCGATGCGGGGAATCTGGATTAACTCGAACTTTTCAAAGGATGGGATGAGACTCATCACCATTTTCAGATAGGAGGCCATTGTTCTGTCTTTGGCTGAGAAATTACCATTGACTTGGCTAACAACCGGCTGGGAGTCACTATTGACGAGTAGCTTCTTTACTTGCATTTCCTTGGCCAGTCTGAGGCCTGCAAGGAGTGTTTCATACTCTGCAACATTGTTGGTAGCTTTGAACCCGAACCTCACGGCCGAGGTGAGTTTGTGACCCTCGGGGCTGATGAGGACAATCCCGGCACCTGAGCCGACATTCCCAGCCGAGCCATCTACGAAGAGGCTCCACGTGGGGAGTTCGACGGGCTCCATGATTTCATCCACCTCGGGTAGGTTGGTGAATTCAGCAACAAAGTTTGCTAACGCTTGCCCTTTGATGGCTGCCCTTGCTTTGAACACAAGGTCAAATTCACTTAGTTCCACTGCTCATTTCAACAATCTTCCCGAGGCATCGGGTTTCTGGAGTACTTGCCTCAGGGGAAAATTTGTAAGTACATGGATGGTATGAGCTTGGAAGTAAGGTCTCAATTTCCTAGAGGCCGTGATTAAGGCCAAAGCAAGCTTCTCCATATCGGGGTATCGGGTCTCCGGCGATAGGAGCGCTTTACTCGTGTAGTAGACGGGAAGTTGGGTAGACCATTCTTCTCGAATCAAAACCGAACTGATGGCGTCATTGGAGACCGCGAGATATAGTTGCAAGATATCGCCGGGCTTCGGCTTGGAGAGGAGGGGGGCTTGCCCCAAGTGCCTTTTTAATCCTTGGAAGGCCTCTTCGCATTCCTCAGTCCATTGGAATTTCTTCCCAGCCTTGAGCACTTTGAAAATGGGAGGCACTTGTTAGTTGCTTTGGAGACGAAGCGACTAAGTGCTGCCACTCGCCCAGTTAAGCTTTGCACCTCCTTTGGCTTTTGAGGGGACCTCATCTGGCACAGAGCCTCAATCTTCTCGGGATTTGCTTCAATTCCTCGCTGGTTAACCATGTACCCCAAGAACTTGCCGGAAGCCACCCCGAAGGCACATTTCAAGGGGTTGAGCCTCATCCTGTACCTTCTCAGGATTTGGAAGGTGTTGTTGAGGTGCGCTACGTGGCTTTCTGCCTCTAAGCTTTTCACTAGCATGTCATCCACGTAGACCTCCATTGTCTTGCCAATGAGGTCGGTAAACATTTTGTTCACGAGTCTTTGGTAAGTTGCTCCGGCGTTCTTCAACCCGAAAGGCATCATTCTATAGCAATAGAGGCCTCGATCCGTGATGAAAGAGGTGTGCTCCTCATCGGCCGGGTGCATGGGGATCTGGTTGTATCCGGAGTATGCATCCATGAAGCTCAATAACTCGTGCCCAGCCGTGGAGTCCACCAATTGGTCAATCCTTGGAAGCGGAAAGCTATCTTTCGGGCAAGCTCTATTAAGGTTGGTGAAGTCGATGCATACTCACCATTTGCCATTGTGTTTCTTAACCAAGACCGGGTTGGAGACCCACTTCGGGTAGGTGGCCTCCCTGATGAAGCCATTTTGGATTAGCTTCTGAACCTCTTCCTTCAGGGTCTCATACCTCTCTGGGTTGAGGGCTCTCCTTTTTTGTCTATGCGGGGCAAAATTAGGATCAATTTTCAAGTGATGACAGTTGACCTTGGGGTCTATGCCCACCATGTCCTCATGCCTCCAGGCGAAGACGTCCAGGTTCTTGCCTAGAAAATCCTTAATCTTTTCTCTCAAAATGTCGGGTAAGCCCCTGCCTACTTTCAGCACCTTGGACGGATCTCGAGGGTCGGCTGAGAAGCTCTCAAGTTCCTCTACAGGGGATGCTTGAGGCTCATGTTCTATTATGCGGGGGTCGATCTCATCAACGATCAGCGCCTCCTGAACGAGGGGTGCGTCAATCATATCAACATCTTCCTGGTCAGTGGGAGCGTCACCTGGGACATCCGCCATGACCACATCAGCCACGATCACATGGACGTCCCGGGACTCCACCTTCTTAATGGAGCTCAGATAGCACTTTCGCGAACCTCTCTGGTCGCCTCTCACCGTTGCCACCCCATTTTCTGTTGGGAATTTCATGCATAGGTGGTGGATGGAGGTGACTGCTCCCAATTCCTTTAGGGCCGGTCTGCCCAAGACTCCGTGGTAAGCCGACCGGCTGTCGACTACGAGGAACTCCATAAAGTTCATCGTAGTTTGAGGAGATTCTCCCATCTCTACTGCCAGTGTTATCTTTCCCCTCGAAGTGATGCTATCTCCGGTAAATCCGTACAATGGAGTGGTGATGGGCGTCAACTGGTGGTCCAATATCATCTTGTCAAAGGCGGACCCGAATAAGATGTTGACGGAGCTGCCGTTGTCGACTAGCATTCGTTTGAGTCCATTTCGGGCTATGACAGTCCTCACCACCAGCGCATCGCAGTGGGGGTAATGAACTCTTTCGGCGTCTTCCTGGGTGAAGATAATGGGTGGTGCTTGATTTCTCCGAGAGCTA